CTACTTACAGAACAACATGCGTGCTAGGCTACGAATTCTGCAAAGTTAAACTCAGATTCACACACACACTCATACATGAACAGCTACCACGGGAACTGTGTACACATCAGGGGGCAGTGTCCTCGGAGCTGGAGAACTGGTAACTGCTAACTGGGCAGAGAGGTGAGCAGGAATGAGGGAGGGAAACTCTTCCCTGTTTTCTTTCAGATTTCATAATATTGTATCTACCACAAATTTCTGTTTTTTAAATTTTTTGTATATATATTTTTATATATATACAATACCTTTATTTTATTTTTATGTGGTACTGAGGATGGAAGCCAGTACCTCATGCATGCCAGGCAAGTGCTCCACCACTGAGCCCCAGCCCCAGCGCCTCTACCACCAATTTCAAAACCTCCCATTAAAACAAAAAATGGCCAAGCCCCCGTGGCTCTGGGCCCTCCACTCTCCCTTGGAATCCCACAGCCCACTGATGGTTCCCAGCCTTTCCCCTGCCCAGCCTTGTCCCGATGCATCTCCAAACATTTCCCCGCGGCTCTCTCCTCCGGGCTCTGGTCTTCTCCTTTCTTAGTCTCCTCTGGAAGCACCTTCCCTTACTACCTGGGCTGTGCCGAGCTCAGCAAAGCTCCAGGTCCCCCACACGTGCTCTCCCTGGTGCCCAAGACCCACCTGTCACCCAGACGCTGGAGCTGGCCGGATCTCCACCCCTGCCAGATCTCTCCTCCCAGCTCCTAACACACAATCCCCCTGCCTCAGGCCATCTTCCCACCCTCAGCTCCTTGTCTTCCTCCCTAGGCCACCGGCTCCACCAGCGTCCCTGACACCCGGTGTGTGGAGCCAGCACCCATCAGGCAGGAACCTGGGGTTCTCCTGGATTGCTTCCCTGGCCTGTTCTAGTACCTGATTTCCAGGCCCTGTCTGCTCTACACATGTGAGACGTCCCCACTCACTAATGTCCAGTGTCACTCCATGGCCCCTGCTGCCAGATTCACCTTTCGAGTGTCTGTATTGGCTCCCTAGGGCTGCCCTAACACAGTGCCATAGTCTGGGTCACTTGAACAACAGAACTTTATTGTCTCTCAGTTTGGTGACTGGAAGTCCAAGATCAAGGTGTGGGCAGGGTTGATTTCTCCTGAAGACTGTCTGCTTGGCTTGCAGACAGACGGCCACCTTCTTGCTGTGTCCTCACATGACCTTTGCTCTGTAGGGAACACCCTGGTATCTCTCTCCGTGCCCAATTTCCCTCTTCTTAGGAGGACACCAGTTACACAGGATTAGAGCCCTCCCACATGACCTCATTTTACCTGAATAACCTCTACCACCCACACTGGGGATAAAGCCTGGGGTGCTCTACCACTGAGCCACATCCCCAGCCCTTTTTATATTTTATTTTGAGACAGGGTCTTGCTAAGTTGCTGAGGCTGGCCTGGAACTTGCAATCTTCCTGGATTACAGGTGTACGTCACCGCACCCATCCTAAATAGCCTTTAAGAGGCTCTGTCTCCAAACAGAACCACATTCTGCTGGACTGGGGTGAGGGCTTCCACAAATGAATTCTGGGGGGACATAATTCAGCCCATAACAATTCCAAGAGGTGATGTCACTGCCCCCCAGCGTCCCAATGCTCTGGCACCTGCTAACTTCTGTTCCTCCCAGCTGTGGGGTGAGGGTAGCGGCAGGAGCAGACAGATTAGAAAGAAATGGCTTCCTTTGGTTGTCACCTTCTGCAGCTACAGACTTGGGGCAGGCGGGCTGACTTCTCTAGCATGGGGCTTGGTCCTTGATCACCCCCATTCCTCATGGATGGGGAGAAATGGCATCAAACCTCCACCCCACACTTAGACCAGCTGGGCTGAAAGCAAAACAGCCCATGTCCCCTCAGCGAGAGCAAATGCTCCCCAGGTCACTCAGGGAAACTTCTGAGCGAATCCAGGAACGGGTGCAAATCTGCACTGCAACTGGGCCACCTCCCTCCCTGGGAGGCGACACTGCTCATGAAGGTGTCCTAGATAACTGGCATCAGAAATTTTCCACCTCGCCCGCTCAGTGGTACAGGTGAGAGCACACGCTTGGTGGTGGCGACAGGATCTGTCTCCACTCGTGAGCTGAGAGAACTGAGCCTTGATTTGCACATCTGTAAAATGGGGTTAGTGCCCTTCTACGTTGTCCTACCGAGATCTTTCCAAGGGCTGCCATAACAATTTCCACCAGAAATCCACAATTTTGCAGTTCTGGAGGCTGGGAATGCAAAGTCCAGGGATTGGCAGGACTGTTGTCCCTCTGAAAGTTCTGGGAGAGAATGATCCCTGGCCTCTCCAGCGTGGGGCTGCTGGTCATCCTTGGCATCCCGTGGCCTGTGTGTACAGCACTCCAGGCTCTTCCTCTGTCTTCAGGTGGTGTCTTTCCTGGGCATGGGTCTGTATGGCTGCTCTCACTAAAAAGACACCCACGGTGGGCATCAGGGCCACCCTCATGCAGAATGATCATCTTAACTAGTGACCCACACCCAGGTCAGGTGGCATTCACAAGTGCCAGGGACAAGGGCTTGCGTGAGTCTTTTGGGGAGACACCATTCCAAGTGCCACCCCTACCTGAGAGGACTCGGGAGACGATGGCAGGAAGGCACCCAGGCTGTGGGCCCTTCCCCCACACGGCTGCTTCGCTCCCAGAAGAGCAGGCTCAGCCAACCAGCCGGCATCCTCATGGCCGAGGTGTCGTTAAGACTTTTAAAACAAACCAACCAGGACTTGCTTGGTACCAAGTCAGTGGTGTCGATATTTTATCAGGGCGTCTCGCTGAGAGACCTCCACCCGTGCACGTGGGCCCCAGTGCCCCGTCTCTGGAGGAGCTCGTTCTGCCAAGAAAGAACCCACGGGCTGCTCTGAAAGCAGAAAAGGGTTGACTCTGGGTGAGCAGCCCTGGTCCCACCACATGGCTGCCCGTCAGAGCAGAAACTTCCAGAAACCAAGCCCAGGAAACGGCACAGGCTACCCTAAGACCAGGAGTCCTTGCTGAGGCTGATCCCAAGCAGCCTCCACACCGGGGCTCCCAGGGGAGTCAGGCGAGCCACTCGGCCAAGGAAAGTGATTAATAAATCATGGCCAAAGCCTTTCCCCTCCTCCCGCCGCGTGGAAACCAAACCCCATCCCGGCGATCAGAGCCGCTGCCCACAACCTGAGGATGCCTTTGACTGAGCTCATTAAGTCAAACACGAGCTTCTGCAGAGCGGATTTTCTCCATGGATAATGCCTGAAAATTAGGAAGTTCAGTGGCCTGGAGATCCGGGGACCCATTAACCAGCTAGTCAGTCAGCGCTTCCATCAGAAGAGGAAAAAAGGGCTGAAAATCTGAAAACCGGCCTTGGGCAGCTGTTCAAAGGTTCCATTATGAGTGTTCAGGGAAGCCCTCTGGGGTTCTCGCCACCGATCCGTGGTGGTGGCAGGAAGAGCCTGGGTGGACAAGGCCGGGGCCAGGGCTAGGAGCCTGGCCACACCTGCATCTGCTGCCCTCTTTCTGAGCCTCAGTTTCCCCAGGGGCAGAAACTCCCAGGTCTATGCCCTCCTCGAGGAAGCCACACAGACTCCACGGTGCAGCTGGGTTGGGGACACTCGGGGGACACTCCAGATGCACTCTGGGAAAGACGGCTCATCAAATGCAGATCTGTACATGACGGAGGCCACTCTGCCACTGACCAGGAACCGAACCAACCACGATCGTCACAAGGCAACCAACTGCACGAGTTTCAAAGGGAAACACCGCAGCACCTAGACACGTCACTACTGTCACACCCCAACTCTGCGACTTGGTTGTGAAGAGATGCAGGCATGGAACACCCAGAGCTCTGGTTTCCCCCTCTGTGAAATGGAGAAATGTTGTCCCTGTGCCCAAAGATATTCTAGGAACATTCAGTGCCACTTCTCACCTAAGGCACACCTGGCAGGTGCTAAAAAAAAAAGTAGGTCCACTCCTTTGACCTGTCTCCCCTTCTCCTTTCTCAGGCATTCTTCACTCCGAGACGTCACAGAGGTCTCCCCAGTTCCTCAACACACACCGAAGCCTCCCTGCTCTAGAAACCCGTTCCCTGAAGCCTAACTACCCACACACCTGGACACCACCTGCCCACATCCTCCCACCTGCCCAGCGCCTCCTCCCTCGCATCAGCCTCCGGGCGGAACAGTCTCTACCAGCGATGTCCCCATGTGTCCTACAAGAACACCCTGTCGGTGACGACGCCTTCACTGGTCAGCGACAGGGTAGAAAATGAGGGGCCGGTTAAGAGGGAGCGCTTCCCCGGACTGGCTGCGTTCCACGCAGAGAATGGCCTTGTTTTCTGGGGATGACCTGCCGCTCCACTGTCCTATTAAAACGTGATTTCTTTCATAAGATGGTGGTGAGAGCATAGAGAATAATGCTTTCCTCATGGCCTCATGGATCAAGTAAAAACAAGTGACCCAACGTCAGGAGCTCAACTTCTTGATTTCTCTTATTCTCAGTTTCCATTAGGTTTCTGGTCCACAGTAACCAAGCCTGGGAGCCCAGGGCCCCGGGAATGGGTTTCGCCTCGCTGCCTCCACTTCCTCCCCAGCCCCATTTCTCAACCCTCATTTGCATGCCCAGCTTCTATTCCTGGCCATTCAAGTGAAACTGCTCTCCAAGGTCTCCAGATCCAGGCCCCACGTGCCTCCAGAGTCTGTGTGGTCCTCAGGCCAGGCCCTGGGGTCTACTCTGCCTCCCTAGGGAGGCTCTGCCCTGCTCATCATCACCCAGCACCAGAGCAGGGGCTGCTGGGAGTGGGAAAAGCCGAGGCTGACAGCCCAGCTCTTGCCCAAGTCCCAGCAAGCTGCTCAGTCTCTCTGAGACTCCGTCTCCTGTGGGGTCAAGTTATGATCTCGAGAGTCCCTGCCTTTTATGGATCTGGAAGGGGTTGGACAAAACCAGGCCTGGGATACAGTAAGTGCCTAATAATGGGAAACACCATTAGCAGGAAGAGTACTCACAGCCAAGTTATGTCCTCTTTCTATCTGCCTCCCTCTGTTTTGTAAGACTCCAGCAGAACTAACATACGGCTGTCAAACGCACACGTGCCCGGCCCTGGGACCATCCCGAGCCATCCTGGAATCCTTCACGCAGCACCTACCATACAGCACCCAGCTCTGACACCTGTGCCCTCATTTCCCCTCTCTTGACAAACTCTGAATTACTTAAGGTCCGGAGGAAACTCTGGACGTACAACCACACCTACCACATCACCTTACACAAGAGTAACAGCAATTGTTCTTTAAAACAAAACAGTGAGACAACCCCAGATAGAAGAGTGCAGTGTGAGGACCTCTCGGAGCCAGTGTTGAATTTCTTCCTAGGACCAGGGTAAGCGATGTGTATGCAGGTACACACACACACACACACACACACACCACAAATACGTTCATCCCCCCAATCTCAGGCAATGCAAGGGGACAGTAGTTAAAAAGGGGTTCCAATGGAATTTCAGGCCCTCGTCCTTGATGCTGGCTTCCGGCCCCCCACAGTTCTGACCACCTGTTCAGTGTATGACTCCACTCCCTTCTCCCTGGCTCTGAGATATTTTTTGATTAAGCCCTTTGTCGATTGAGTCTTTGCCACATTATTTCCATATCTTCACGCAGAGCACCGTTTCTGAGAGGCACCGGTTCTTAATTCATTTTACGAAACCAGCCTCTCGCCCTGTTCGGTTCCCCGCCCACATTGAGTTCTTAATCCACCTACCGTCCTTCCTGTGGTGTCCTAGGATGCAAATAACTCGAGTCTGAAGACATTTCCGTTTCTTTCCATTCTGCTCCCACCCTCCACCTCTCCAGTGCACGAAACTGCATGACAGGAGAGGGAACCCTCAGTGTCTTCCCCTAAATATCCTTGGAGAAAGGGCACTTCCTGTGCAAATCTCCAAGGCTCCACAGTAGGAAGGCATTTGAGAGGTGGCACTGCAGAGAGCCCAGGATGCTTCCAGAGCCTCCCAGAGCAGCTAGGAGCCCCCACACAGCCACATATGAAAAATTATCATGGGACACTTAGTCCTCATGGTGGCCACACAGGTTGGACCTGTGGGTCATATGACCCTGTTCATCCAAAGTATAAGAAGAATACATTTTTTAAAGGCCATATGAAAACAAAGAGTCACAAAAAAAAATCTAATTTCAAGTTCATGGCTGGTGATTAGAAATTTCAAGACAAAGGTAAATCAACAGTCTTCATCTCTGCTTTAAGACCACAGTAGCAGTTCCTCATTAAAAATATTCTCAACCACTGAGCCACATTCCCAGCCCTTTTTAGTATTTTCCTTAAAGTTAGGGTCTCGGTAAGTTGCTTAAGACTTTATTTAATCGCTAAAGCCAGCTTTGAGCTCCTGATCCTCCTGCCTCAGCCTCCTGAATTCTCAGTGCTCTTACAAGCTGTACAAACTGAAGCCAACTGAAGAGTCACTGAGTAGAAACTCACACAGTCATTCGACAAACATTTTCAGAGTACCCACCCCATTGCAGCATTGGGGATTCTGAAATTAATGCCACACCTAACCCTCAAGCCCAGGCTCAGAGCTCGGATTACAAAGCACACAGTGAGTGTTCACAAAGTGTCAGCACTGAGCGAAGCACCCTCCATGTGTAATCTCATCCCCTTGCACCCAAAATGCAATGAGCCTGGGATTAGACTTAACTTTCTTTTGCAGGTACAGTACACCCCTGAGGCACTGGCTTCTGCAACAGGCCCAGGGTCACTCAGCCTGGCCTCCAGGTCCTGAGTCTGCCCTGAAACATCACTCCTCCACACCTCTGCTGGAAGCCAAGCGGGACCCCCATTGCTTTGCTGGCTTTCTCACAGTGGGACACACTTCTTTCAGAGGCCTCCAAGTGCAACCCCAAAATCCACGTAAAAGGAAACCGTACCCCCCAGCCCTAAGCTCCAGAGTTCAGGCTGGGAAATTCTTGCATAGCCCACACTGCAGCCACCACCTCTAACCTGCCTGTGCTCTGTGGTCTCGGTTTCCACCCGCATATCCACTTCCGGGGCCAGCCTGGCCTCAGCCTACCACATACCCGTTAGAAATCAGGGGGAGGCAAAAACTCAAACCACAGCAAGTCACCAGTGTGTACCTTGGGGAAACTAAATCAGAACTCCAATGCCGGAGGTTGGAAGAGATGCGGGGAGACAGGTGTTCTCCTAAACCACCAGTGGAGGATGGGAGTGCCAGGGGGTGGGACCGCCTCCTAGAGACGGCGACAGCACCTGCTCAGGTTGAAAACGCGCAGAGCCTTTGATCAGCAGATCCACTTTGAGAGTGATGATTATCCCAGAGAAAGTCCTGCTGCCGCGAACAGGGTTTTCACTGTCGTGTGGCTATAATAACCTAACCGTCTTGCGGAGAGGAGAATAAACGAACGAGGACATCCACACAGTGGAATACTCCACCGTTAAAATAAACCACCTCTCTGTGTGGCAACGGGATGGACCTCAGGCCTGTAAGACCAAGTGAGAAGTCCGTGCCAAAAATGCAGGCAGCGCGCTAGTTTTTTAAAGCATCACAGTTAAAATGGAATGCACTGGATGTAGGCGCACAGGTCAGTGGTAAAAGATTAAAAACATGGACAGAAAGGATACATACCAGCTTGAGGACAGTGGTGACCTCTAGAGTGGGACAGAAAGGAACGGGATCATGGCAAGTCTTTGATGGCCTCAGCGATCCAATTTTCTTTTCAGAAGCAAATCTGAGTTTAAGCGGCACACGTTAAAAACCTGGTAGATCTGTGTTTGGCACATTCGAGTTTGTCATGGTATTCTCAGTTCTTTCGTGATCCTTGAAAAATTCCAGAATTTAAAGTAATTGAAAAGTATACTTTTGAAAGCACTTAGGTTACTTTTAGGATTGTTTAGGGTTTAATGGCCATTCAAATGTAGGGAACGCCCATAAATAATTTCAAAACTGGGTGTTACACTCAACATGAAGGAATATAAGGTAGCCGCAGCTGTTTAAAAGCTGAGACTAATTCTGTACCGGGAGGGGAATATGTTAGGGCTGTTTTTAGAAAAGGAGACTCGCTGGCTGGGCTTTGAAGGGTGAATCGGGAGCTTTCCTGAGAAACTGTCTACAGACACAGCCAGACAGCAAACACGCCCCCTAAGGCTGCATTTAGCTGTGGGGAAGGACCAGGCTGGGAGAGAGCATTCCTTCCCAGCCCAGCCGGCCAGACTGTTTGCTAAATACCCCAAAAGAGACAAGGGGCCTCTTGATCTGGACACCGGACCAGGGTGCAGGAGGCCTCATGCTGCCAGGAGGGGCAGGTTGCCATGACGCCCTCTTGTAGCGTCCACCAGGGCCTGCGGGCACTGGCAAATGGATGGGAGGAGTCAGGGAAGTTGCTGTTCGGTTTCCAGCCTTTGCCCACCTCAATTCCCAACCCACAGGAAGAGGGAGAGGGTAGAGCGGCTTCTTCTCCACCAACCCTTGAAAACTGCTGCCGTAAAATTCAGAGGAAAAGTGGTGGATTAAAGAGTTTGGAAACGTAAGAGCCAATGCTAGGCGATGGGCTTTGGAACAAAAAGCCATAATGACACCAACAACCAGCCTGGCACCCAGGAGTCCTGACAGAACCCACAGGAGAAGGAGGGGACTCAACCGCAGACTGAGCCCAAATCTCTACCTCGTGGTGTCTGGGGGACACCTACGGCCAAATTTGGCTGAATTTAGAAAAATAAAGAAATGGCAGGCTGTGTCCAAGCCCCATGGCGCGATTTATACTGCCTACACCCTACTAATTTGAACCATTCTGTTTCCTAAGAATCCTCTTTCCATGTAAGGTTTATTCTTCTAGGGCAATTCTGTCTGCTAGAACTTTCTGCAGTGATGGACACGCTCTCCATCTGTGCTATCCAATATGGTAGCCACTCCTGAGCACCTGAAATGGACCCCGTGTGGCTGAGAAACTGAAGTTTTCATTTTAATTTCATCTTAACTAAATTTAATTAACCACAGGTGGCTAGGGGCACCGTGTGACAGAGCATAGGTCTGCAGCCCCCTTCTCATGGCGTGTTCAGCATCTCACGACACTGATGAGGCAGCTCACCCCAGGAGTGAACGTTTTGTCAGCTCCCATGTTGTGCCACTCTAAACAATGAGGCCACAAAGACACCCACAGCTGAACCACTGTGTACATCCTAAACTACTTCCTTAGGAAGTGAAGTTGACAGGTAGAGTTGACAGGTAAATATGTCACTAGGTTCTTCCTACATTTTAATACAACCTGCTCTCGGCAACTGACATGGACAGCATTCTACCTTCTACCAGCTGTTTCCACATCCTGGTGACCATCCTCATGACCAGCCAGGCCAGGTAACACCACCCCCAAGGTACAGGCAAGGACATGATCCATGAGAATGCTTGTCCCTGGCTTGACTGGGTTGGCTTAGTTTCAGTGAATGACACACCACATACACAAAGGTGGTTCCACAAGACCATGAGAGAGCGGAGAGATTTCCAGAGCCCAGTGACATGGACAGAGTACAACACATCACTCACCTGTCTGTGGTGGTGCTGGTATAAACAAACCCACAGGCCTGCCCGTCACATACTGTATGGCAGACACACGATCAAGTACATCATCCCTGATGATGCCGACCAACGACTATGGGACACCACAGTCCCGTGGCTTAATGACCGGGGTACACGTTGAGGAACACGCTGTTCTGTGACCATCAGAGTGTACTTACACAAACCAAGATGGCTCTCAGGCCACGAGGTGATATGATTAATAGGGGGACCACTGCTGACTGAAATCTCACTGGGCAGTACATATCTGTACTATACCTTCTAACCTGTGTTTAAATGTTCTCCTCCTCCTTACGTACTAAATATTAAACACCTTTCTGTAAAACAGTATGCAGTGTTACACCCTCGGCAGCCTCCCACGTGTCAAGTTACCGAATTCCTGACTACATCAGGAAACCCATCCAGTAACCCTCCCTTTCTGAGCCTGCCTGAGCTCTCTGTTCTGTTTGCATGCAACCCACCGACAGAGCCTTTCTCAGAACTCACCCCGTCATGAAGCAGCGCATGGCTCTATTTGTTCTCCCAGATTAATTTAATACAGAAAAGTACTTATGCTATATTCATAAGTGATAAAAACAGATGTAAAATTATAGGCCATGTATGATCAAAACTACAAAAATCCAATACAACAGTAA